ACCTGTTACGTTGAACCTGGGACATTCCAGCAGACTGCCCTGCAACCCACCTCAGACAGAAAGAGAGTCATGTCTGATTTTTCAGTGCTGGGACAGTTATGAAAGCCAGAATGGTAAATATCTTTACACTTCACATTTTAGGGTCCTGATAACAAATATTTTCTTAAATAAGTATGGAGTTTCGAGATAAGGTATTAATCGGTGTTTAAATTATTATAGCATGAGGTTGCCAAGCAAAGAAGCAATGGGCACTATCACAAATCCTTAAAAAGGACAGCAACTAAGTGTACTTGCTTTTTCTTTTGGCAATAGGAAAACAAAGCCTCTGTAGCTCTCAGCAGTGCAATTTTCTGATGTCAAAGCTATCTCTCCAAAATCCTTTCAAAAGGATGCAAAATCTAACCTCTCCTTGCTCCATGAAAACATACGAAAGAGTGTATAAAAATACTACAACTCAGTGAGTGACTTCAGATCACAAAAACACCCAGAACTTCAGAGGACAGAACTATAGGTTTGCCATTTCTGCAAGCAAAATATTTGCTCCATTGCTCATACAATGCCACAGTATAAACATTGTCATTTATTTGACTTGTACATTTAGAAATGAGTTGAGAATTTGCACTTTTACATTTACTCTGCCCTTTTTTGCCTGCTTACAGATCTGACAACATTTTTTCATCTGAAGATCCTGAGCTATTTCTGAGCTTGACTCTGCTTCCCATCATACTCATTCTAAAATTAAAGACAATACACAGAAGTTCAGGTGAGTTCACAGTTCATAAATCCACCCTATATGGACTAAGAAAAAACTCAGATTGCACTAAAAATGATGTTCTGCCTTTAATCACTCTCATTGGTTTTAGAGTACTTTACAATACTTTTGTTAAATGACTAGATTCACACCACAAAATCTAATAAAAGACTGTTTGCTATTGAGAGGTAAGATCTAGAAGGTACTGTCATCTTTGGAGAAAGTAAGCTAAAATTTATCTTAAAAGATGGCTAAAGGTAAGAATAGCTAGTGAAAAAAACTAAAAGCAATGGAAACAAAAGCTAAATGTCCTTTTCTGCATAATTCCTAAAGGCCCTGTTCTACAGAATAACCATGTACCTATCCAGATAAGACACCAGGACAAATAATAGTGAACGAAAACAAGACATTTTCTGTAGTTTGGAGAAAGACATTTTTGTTATTCAGCCTCAATTATGCAAAAACAACCATTATCTGAATAAATTGTTTGATATTTTCAGATATAATGGAAAAATTTACCTGCTGAAATTCTGCAGGCATAAGAGTATTCAAAAGTAATCTGGAGCACCCTCATCTCTAACAGGAGCCGTGTGGCCAGAGCAGACTTGCACCCTGCCCCCCAAAAAGGGGATATGTGCTTGTAATTCATGCCTGCTATAAAAGGCAGTGTGTGCATATGTAATTCTGAGAACACGCATGTGAGAGTGTGCAGGGAGATTAAAACTTCTGAGATTACCTGCAGAAGGGTGCTCAGAAATTTCCAGGTGCTTCTTAACATTCCATGGATGTCTAGGGTTGTTGTTACCTGCTGTATTGCCACTCTTGATCTTGAATGTGTAGTTGGATGACTGCTGGTTAACTGTTATTAATAAATCAATAAACCACTTGGATCTGGATTTAATTTAAACCACACAGCTGAACAGTTTTTCCATGTGACAATCATGAGGGAATAAATCATGAAGAGGGAATAAATGCTCTTTTTTCTAATACAAGAATACAGGGAAGATGACAAAAAAAGGACCTGTTTCTTCAAACAAAGGGTAATCTAAGAATTGTTTGCCGAAACATGTACTGGATGCTAAACAGGTTAAAAACTGATTGAAAGAA